GGGAGAAGAGAGAAATAAAAGAGAGATTAGAGACTCTTTTGAGAGGTTTTTTGTTGAGAGTTTGTAAACTCCGTTGTAAATTCTATTCAAGTAGAAATAGAATTGTTTTCCTCTTTTATTTTCTCTTCACGTGATCGGAGAATCACAACATCTCAAGCCTATTTTGCAAGATGATGCACTCTTGTATAGTTTTGCGGAAGACAAAGAAGACGAGGATGAAGATAGCGTGTAATTTGAGCCTAAGGAACTGGTAAATTTTAATTGGGTTGAACAGATCATTATTGAGGATGAGAGTTGTTCAGGTAGATATGTATCTTAACTTATGATTCCTTGTGAAAATGGGGAAAATTAGGCCGCATCCTCTTCTGATAGAGGTACAAACGCTGGCGTTGAAGATGCCATTTCTTCCTCCAGAGATGAAAAAGATGAGCAGTTTAATATTCTTTTACAAATAATGTAGCAAGTTAGATCATGAATATAAATAAGAGTTATTTCTGCTCGAACAATTCTTTTGGAATCCACAGAGAAATGATCAGTGGCAAGGTATCGAACTTGGCGTTCTAATTGGAAGTGAACCATAATTTATCTCTGTGAAATTGAAGGACCATCGATATATTTCTATATAATAAAGAGTGCGCTCAGTTGCTTATTGTAATTTGTAATATATAAAATAGACTTAAAGGCAAGCTATTCTTTACGTGCAGGTGAGAACTGATGCTTACCGGCAAGCTATTTTGGAGAATCTTTCTTTGCTAAGAAGCAGTTATTATGGATGTAGGTTGTAGGACTGGCATCCTAAGGTGCAAAATAAGTTTTGATTTTATTTTTGTGTACCATATGATCAATTGCTATTGAGATTCCTTCTTAATTTAGTTATATTGGGTGAGAAGAGACAAGTTATCCGCAGACATGTATATTGAAATATGAACCTACCTTCTCTTAGTTTTGATCGCCTGCGTCTTTGTTTGGTTCCACTTTAACGCAAATTGGCTTAAATGAAGAATATTGGATTATGTCATACTGAATTGCTGGCAAAACCACCACCCTCGAGCTGCTTCTGTCCTATTTTCCATCTAGTAATGACTGAAGATTGTTATCATCATCTTCTATTAGGACAAGGAAACAATCCTTGGCTTCGTGCCTTTAATTAGTTTGCTAAGCATATTTCCTACAATCAAGCTAACCACACTTATTATTCATGCATAAATAGCCATATGTCATTAAACAATATTCAAAGCATTATATTATTTGAGTTGTCTGCTTTATCTGGTTCTTTTAATTGGGTTACTTTTTAATTATATTATTTGCGTTAGTGTAGATTGCAAAAGATAATGACCTTCTGTAGAGTGGATTTCTTAGAAGTAGCGGGCAACACGATGGAGTAATTGAAGTGATTCAAGGCATGATTGAGGATCTTGACAATGCAACACATATCCAACCTCACAGTGTTGATGTTTTACTGAGTGAATGGATAGGCTATTGCCTTCTCTATGAGTCTATGCCCAGTTCTGTAATGCTTGCTCAAGATCGATGGTTAAAGCCTGGAGGTGTTGTTCTCCCAGATACAACTACTATGGTGGATCGAGATTTTCCTTTTTAGCTGTTGTACTTGACACGTTATCTTTGTTGAGACCGATTGACCAATAATGCAGGAATTGAGATTTAAGGAATTCCACTTGTTGTAATTGAAGTATTGAACAAGATCACAAATAACCCAAGAACAAGATTAAAGTAAAGAAATAAAAGAACCGGCAGAAGGAACGATGTTTTATTAATTCACTATGAAAGGAGAGTACAATACAGCAAAAGGCTCCAACAAAACTGACAGAGGAACCTTGTATTTATAGTATAAAATCTAGCCCTAAAAGAGTTCCAAAAAAAGGTAAGAAATCTAATGCAATTTAGACTCCTATTTAAGTCACACTTCTAACAATCTCCACCTTGACTCAAATTCCAAAATTTCTCCACCTTGAGAAATAATCCGTCTGTATCAGAATGAATTGACCAATCTGCTTAATGCAATAACCAAACTCTCCACGATAACACGTTCCCCCGTCCGGCGTCCACAAGCGACACCCGAACCCAAACTCGGGTTCCCAAAATTCCTCCTAGAATTAACAATCATTGGATAGGGTCGAAGCACACCCTGAGCAGAAACCACACCAAATGCACAATCAGAAGGTCCCTTGCCAATATTGTCACCTTCAATGATTTTTAAAGCATTACATACATCTCCAAAACTGTACCTACGCTCCATGAGTCCATTGGCATTACAAGAACACAGTGTACTCACTAAAATTGGTGGCAAAGCGGAATCACCAACACTCCCTTGAGCAAAGTTCTTAACTGACCCAAAGCCAAACCCGAGAAGTACTGTACCAAATTGAATGTCCACCACGGTACTGAACTTGTCCAAATGTCTCTGAACTGGTTCTGTGCTCCCCTGCAAGATGTACAACGGGGATTTCCTCCATCCCTCCAGAACAACCCGGACACCCCTTCGAACCTTCAAGACTCCACCTCCACCAGAAAATTTGTACCCTTTTTCATCCAAGATACTAAGTGATATGAGATTTTTTGTCAAGTCTGGAATATGGCGAACCTGATCAACTGTCCTCACTGTTCCATCCTGTAGCCTCAATCTGACCCGATCGATTCCTGCAACCCGACAAGATTGGTTGTTTTCCATGACAACTCCACCTTGCTTCACCGTCTCATATGCTTGAAACAAAGCCCTATTGGGACACATATGATACGAACAAGCAGAATCCAGAATCCACTCATCAGGTTTGGATTCCCCGTCAGATACAGCCAACATCACATCTCCATCATCATAAAAATTTTCAGCAATATTAGTCTCGTTCGAATTACCTGATTGCCCCGCATGATTTGCATGTAAATCACATTTACCTTGCAACTTGTCGCAATCTTTCTTGATGTGTCATTTCCTCTTGCAGTAATAACAATACACATTGCTGTACTTCACCTTCGATCTACCCCTCCATCGATCACCATGAGTAACAAGAGCATTCCCACTCCTAGATGCAGGATCTCCAACCAACAACTCCATCTTCTCTTTTGAGAATAGGGCGTCATATACCTCCTCAATGGATAACGTGTCACGACTATACAGAATAGTATCACGAAATGACGAAAGAGAATTGGGTAGCGAACACAACAGGACCAATGCTAGATCCTCATCATCATATTTTACCTTCAACGTCTCCAAATCTGCAACGATCTCCTTGAGCATAGCAAGGTGGTCCTGCAGTGACCCTCCTTCCACCATGCGATGAGAATACAACCTCTGCTTTAGAGTCAGTTTGCTCGTCAAACTCTTTGTCATGCATAGCTGCTCCAGCTTGAGCCACAAAGCAGCCGCTGTCTTCTCCTTCAAAATATCTTGCAGCAAATTATTAGATAAATGAAGTTGGATTTGCGCTAAAGCCTTCTGATCCTTTCATTGTTTCTCCTCCATGGACAAGCTTGCTGGCATCCTATCAAAACCCAACAAAGTATCATCAAGATCCATCTGCGTCAACACAGCTCCCACCTTTACTTGCCACAGCGAAAATCTTGTATTGCGATCCAATAGCGAAATTTCATACTTCAACGAATTTATCTCTAAAAAATCTCAATCAAATCAGGAAGAACTTGCAACCTGCAACACTCAAAACTGAAAACTACCGAACGTGCAAGGGGGCAAAATAGTCCAGAACCACAATTTTGCCCAAAACTGAAATTGGACACCACCACAAGGTCTTTTTCATCGTCCGGAGAAAACTGCCTGAAGACACCGTTGCCGAAAAATGCCTCACGCGCCGCCACTCGCTCGCTGGAGTTACCACCACCGGCGACTGGTCGGAAAACGCACCGACGACCTGTGACCCTTTCTAGACCGTTTCTGCCTGCTAAGTCCACTGGTGGTGTTCGTTTCTCCAAAATCTTTTTGGTTTAACCAGAAAATGCAAAAACAGATTCGACAGAAAATCGAAAAATTGGACAGATTCGTTTTCTGATCTTCTGGTAATTTTCAGATGATTTTTCGATCAGTTTCAGGCCAAAAATCCACCAATAACCCAGCTTTGATACCAGTTGTTGAGACTGATTGACCAATAATGCAGGAATTGAGATTTAATGAATTCCACTTGTTGTAATTGAAGTATTAAACAAGATTACAAATAACCCAAGAACAAGATTAAAGTAAAGAAATAAAAGAACTGGTATAAGGAACGATGTTTTATTAATTCACTATGAAAAGAGAGTACAATATAGCAAACGGTTCCAACAAAACTGACAGAGGAGCCTTGTATTTATAGTATAAAATCTAGCCCTAAAAGAGTTCCAAAAAAAGGTAAGAAATCTAATGCAATTTAGACTTGATGCAGCACCAATGAGACAGTAAATTGAGAAATAAAACATAGCTATGGGGAGGGAGAATTAGAGAGAAGAAAGGGCAGGGGATTCAACAGAAGAGAAGAAAGAAAGCAAGAAGAGAGAAAACACCGTAAGCCACCAAAAATATTCATTCATCATCAACTGAAAATTACAATGCAAAATAGGTTTAAATAGTAAAGCAACCCTAACGAGCTTGGGCCCGATCCCATACAAGTCCGAAATTAAATAATAGCCCAAGAAAATAAATAAAGCTTAAATAAAATAAGTAAACGTCGTCCGATGTCCTCATCAACTCTCCCGGGGTGGGAGAAAAACTCGACCCTGTCGAGTTGATAGATAGTATAGGCTGCAGTCAATCTGATACTCCAAATGCTTCAAGTCAAGCCACGGGGGACGATCTTTTCGACGAACCAAGTAACGAAATTTCATAATTGATAGTACTGAAAACTGTAGCTTATTCCCAAGAATATGATCTAATCAAGGGGGTCGATCTTTCCTTCTAACCAAGTACTAATACTGGACTTCAAATAACCAATACTCATGCACCTCATCTTCAACATTTTCACATGACTGTACATAATGACGAGCATACTAAGTACGTCGATTTACCCAACAAACAAGGAAGTACTGAATTTTGCCATCATTGGTCAATACAACACGTTCATCTAAAATAACATCAATTTTATTTTTGTGTGCTGTGATAGATAGTATTAAAGTAGAAATATTAATATAGTCAAATTGGGGGTCCACAAAGTTAGGTAGAAATGGATCATCAAAGGAAGTAATACGGTATTTGTAAGTAATGAAGTCCTCAATATTTAAAGCAGAGTGGTGGCTAAAATGTGATGAAAGGGCAATGACATGTGCATTTGAACCAACATGCTTTAAAATTTTAGAGGACCAGCACTATAAGCTTACAATATGACATAATCCCCAATATTAAATTCAAAATATTGTTTATGCGAATCAGCTTGAAGTTTATATAATGCATGACTTGCGTCATGTTGTTTATTGATCTCAATATGCAAGTTATGAAGATGATATACAAATGCTTCAGCTGACAACAACACACTAGCATGCGGGGACATGAGAATAAGATCTAACGGTCGCCTAGACTTATAACTATAAACAACTTCAAATGGATTTAGACCTAGAGACCGATTCATAGAATTGTTATATGCGATGTGAACAGTTGGGGGGATCGAGTCCCAATTCTCAAGATTTTTCTTGACTAGAGACTGTAATAAATTACCAAGACTTCGGTTAGCAATTTCGTTTTGACCATCAGTTTGAGGTTGGTCAGTAGTGGAGAATTTCGATTTAGTACTAAGAACAAGCGATTGGATTCTCCAAGGGTGACTAGTGAAATCATCAAACTCTTTGAGTTTGGTAAGGGTATGACATATAACATGTGATCGAGAGTTGTCGGAAACAAGGGGTATAGTTTCTAAAGTCTCGGGAAGGGTCGGGATTCCACTTAAGGAAGTGTCCTCACTATAATCATCAAAATCTTCAAGTTTAGGGCCATATGCTAGATCTTCTAACGACTCTTCTATTGCATTCTTTCGTTCTTCTATGACTAAGGCTCGGTTAGGACATTTGGAAGAGATGTGGCCAAAATCCTTACAGCTGATGTATAGCAAGTGAGAAGTCTTTGAAGTTTCACAAATTATACCCTTATTTTCCAAAATTGGAGGAACATTAGATGGGGGAGGTCCTAGAAGGGACTTAACAGGAGGAAGTGGAGCCAGTGAAACCGAAAGATGATTGCCATTACACTTTCTACATGAAGAAGAAGATCTTGGACTATCACGACCTTTACAATTATTTTTCCAAATAGGAGGAACATTAGACAGAGAAGGTTTTATGATAGACTTATGATGAGGCGACGCTAATGAGATGGGTGAACGGCGATGACCACGCTTTTCATATGGAGTACTAATAATCAACTTATAATCTCGAGCTAAAGAGTAAGCGTGATCAAGAGTAGTGACACCTCGAAGGAAAAGCTCGCGCTTAAGATCATCTCTCAGACCTTGACTAAACTTACTCAAAGTCATGTTTTCATCCTCAATTAAATGACATTTGGTTCGAAATTTCTCAAATTGCATGATATACTCAGTCACTAATTGATTTCCTTGTTTAAGGGCATTCCATTGAGTAAGAATTTCAAAATTATCTCGTTCTCGCTTACGAATCTGATCCCTATTCCTACGATCACGTTGAAAATATTTTTGATCACTTTGTCCACGATGATATTGTCTATTATGAGACGCTTCAGAATTAGTGTCAATTAAACGAGGGATTCGCTTAAAATTGCTCAACTTAGCAGCTAGGTTCTTTCTCTCCTCACGAGTAGCAGTTATATCTGATTGGACAGTCGATAGGCTAGTGGCAAGTTGCGCTAATTGTCTAGTGAGTGCATCAAATTGGGATGGATCCATGGTCAATTTATTGGAAATAGAGATGACAAGACGACCACTATGCAACTACATGCAATGTAATACCAGTTAAATGACGTGCTATGATGAGATCAATGAACAATATGTGCAAGCAATGAAAAATAACTTGTACCATTTTTTTAATTTAATTTTAAATATTGGGATTAATTAAATCCAAAACAAGCTAATACTGTTAGTACATGTAAAATGGCAAAGCAAGGGTCAACACTAGTCAAATTCTCCAATCAATTACAATGGAAGTCAATTCGGTCACTGGTGTCAATTCGATTAATGGTTTTGATCAAGTGAGGTTTAAGGCTAAAATTATCACAATAACAGCAGCACAAGATTTTAATTGATGCAATTTTAAAAATGAAACAGTAGTATAAACCAATACTAAATAGAGATCAAGGACTCCCTGTTGTTTAGTTTTGATTATTTGTATGCCGCTTGATCTGAATTGCCGACTTATAAGCCCCAACTATGCTTCTGTTCTTCCCTTCATGTCCAATGGTTTTAACCTCTGTTGACTGTAACTTGTGCTGGCTCTGGTGTGGACGTAAAATTAAGTGTGGTGACTATGGCTTTTAGATTGTTGAGCTGGACAAGGAAATATATGAGTGTGGTAACTGTGGTGGAAGTGTATGATATTGGGTTGGTGGTGGTGGCCTATGGCGATGAAGCGGTAGTGCTCTGGTGGTGAGAGAGGAATCGGGTGAAACTGTGGGGTATTTGAT